CTACTACACCAAGTGTAACGTTAAAACATACCAAGCTGAGTGTTACAATGTTGTTTAGGAAACTTAGTACAACACTGAAACAAAAAAAATATAATGGAACCTACTACATCAAGTGTAATGTTAAAACATACCAAACTGAGTGTTACAATGTTGTTTAGGAAACTTAGTACAACACTGAAACAAAAAAATATAATGGAACCTACTACATCAAGTGTAACGTTAAAACATACCAAACTGAGTGTTACAATGTTGTTTAGGAAACTTAGTACAACACTGAAACAACAAAATATAATGGAACCTACTACACCAAGTGTAACGTTAAAACATACCAAACTGAGTGTTACAATGATCCATGACCTGAAGAAGAGAACCCTCTGTTGTTCCACTCATATTTTCCAGAATCTCCAGATTGCGTAATGTGACCCCATCCAATACCTATAAAACAAGACAAGAATTAAGATATTCTACATTTGAAAGGCATTTAAATACATACATTTAAACATGGTTTTATAAATTTTAGAAAATTGCCTATCTATTCCTAACACAAAAACTTTGCCTCAAGAACTTTTAAAATACTTTTACTGTTCAACATAAGGAATATTTTAGTATTTTGGTTATAAACAGAATTCACATTTATAGAAAGATAATATTAATAGTAATCAATCTACAAAGAAACCAATGACCTATTATGACATAATACATTTCAAATAAACTATTCATTAAATAGTTAAATTTGAATCTCTATGTTTCAAAATGACTTCTTAACCCTTAACCCTTGGGATTATATCTGTCCCAACTTATTGCTGTACAGGACTGAAAAACAAGTAAAGACATTGATTATAAGACATTCTTGCACTACTTTTACCTCAAAATGTATGTATATATATAATATCTTTTCATTAATAGCTCTTGGAACACACAATCCAAAAGTAATATTTGTTGGAAAACAAAAATTTTAAAACATTATAAAAAGCATTCCTTATGTATCCTTGGTCATTTATACATACTTAGATAATTTGTATTTTAATAATACAAGTCATAGTGAAAGGGTAATCCTTGAAGAACGTTTTGTCCAAAAGTTTGTTTTTAAACATCTGAGATTAATTGGTAACTTACTATATTGTCAGTGATGCCATTAGTTTTCCTTTTTTTTTTCCTCTCCCAGTTTTTATACATTAGATATTATAGAATATTATTTACCACACAATTTACAAACAAGTACATTTACTACTGAATTTTAAATTCCCTAAATGGGGTTGGCACTGAGTTAGTGTGGGAACTGCTGGTTTAGTGTTTTTAAAGAACTACAAAAACTCACCATACGTTGAAAGTGTAAAAATGATATGTTTGCTGGACTTGATATTGTGTCCAATGGTGTGTACTCCTCAAACTTTTTCAACGTTAGAAGTTCATCATGGATACAACTTTCTTGAAGATACCTTTCAGAAATAAAAATGTGCTTTAACTTCCATTTTCAATTGACACATTCATATACAATTGTAAAAATATGTTAGTTTAAAATGTGAAAAAGAATTATGAAAAGAATAACTGTTAAAGAAATTATTGAGTGATAATCACGGTCCTTGAAGCAAACTACATTTTATACCTCGTACAGTGAAAATCAAATCTAATAGTTTACTCACCATATACAAGCACCCAATGCTTTTACTGCAAGATGATATTCTTCTTTTGCTGTTTGCTGCAAATTATCACCTAAAAACATTTATACAAAATAGTTTATTTGATTACTCAGATTTTACATTATGTTTTAAAGATTTTTTTTGTATAAACAAAAATGATCGTGGTTCTAAATTTTGCAAAAATTAGTAGTCACTGTTTATAAAATTACTTCAGTCATTTACTGTTGTTCAGAACCAAAAACCGCAGCTTTGAAATGGTTACAATATACAATTTACTAATAAACAAGTGTAGTAAGCTATGTGGAAGAATGAAAGTAACAGTTTCAAACATCCTTTGGTAAGGAAACAGTTATAAAGATGGGTAAAAACCTACACTACCAAAATGACTCATTCTCATGAGCTCCGCTGTGCGGTTCAAAGGCCCGCTCATAATTCACAGATGCCCCAGTGTACTAATCAAGCTCCTTCATTATCCTCTATAGCTATCCCAAGAGAGACCTGTATACAAAAACAAACCTTATTAGGACACCTGCCCATAGCACCTGAGCACTAGTACGAAACCTCATTAGGAAACCTGCCCATGGTACCTGAGCACTTGCCCCATAAGCTTGTGATTGTTCAAACATGGTATTCCCAGGATCCCAAGAGGGGCCGAGAACAAAAATTGTGATGTCAGATTCCATTTCAGCAACCCTGGAAATCTACTCCAAGACCCTCCCCCCCTCATCATGTCTGGGTTGGTCTTCTAGGCATGTTTTAGCTCCCCTTTATAGGGTGTTACACCACACAGATGAGGCCATTTGCAGTTTATCTGCCAAGTTTGATCCTGTTAGCTCCAAAACTGAAGAAAGAGTTTGTAAACAAACATAAACATGAATTAATAAAGGAAATGGTCAATAAAAGCTGAAAAATTCATTAAAAAACCAGCTGATCACGGTGTGAGCTTTTATAAAAGATGTACAAAGAGCCAGTACTTTTATTATTTTGAAAACAAGCGGTGGTAGCATATTTTTTGTTATTATCACAAATTACAATTCTCAATAAAATCATACATAATCTTGCATATGTACACCTTCAACAGAGTGAATTATCACAGGTTTCATTTTTTTGAAATATTTTAGGTATCTAAACCTAGCCAGAATGTCTCACATTCCACCTTAACATTCTAAATGCAAGCAACTGTGGCAACATATTGGTCAACTGCCATACTTTAACATTTCATTTGTTTGTAGTTAAGCACAAAATTACACAAGGGGCTCTCTGTGCTTTGCCAACCACAAGTATCGAAACCCAGTCATTAGCACTATAAGCCATTAGACTTACTAATGAGCCATTGAGGCTCACACTTTAAAATCAGAGAGAGAGAGTAAATGTTGCAAATTAATATAAAGGAAAAGAAAAAACAAAAAGTTTGTTAGTCGTCCCTAATTTAGCAGTGAAAGACAAGAGGGAAGGCAGCTAGTCATCACCACCCACCGCCAACTCTAGGGCTACACTTTTACCAACGAATAGTTGGGATGACCATCACTTTATAATGCCTCCATGGCTGAAAGGGCAAGCATGTTTGGTGGGACGGGGATTTGAACCCACAACCCTCAGATTGCAAGTCGAGCGCCCTGACCACATGGCCAAGCCGGGCCAAAAAACAAAACAAACAAATGTGTATATATACATACACACACACACACACACACATATATATATATATATATATATATATATATATACACACACATATTAGTTAGTTAGTACTAATTATTACTACTACTAAGTTTAGTAGACACGACCTATTTAGTAAGTAAAATTAATTATTTATTTACTATTAGTACTACT